CTAAATTGCTGTGAAAAGAAGCTTAAATACCTCCTAAAACCTAGCTACCCAATCCCCACAAGGAAACTAAGTTAAAATAAAATAAGACTAGGAAATAAAGTCCAAATTGGATTAGGAGAATCTGCCCAAATCTGCCCAGCCACGTTTTGGTCTCAAATCTCCTCCAAATCTGGCCCAAGATAGCTCGTTTTAAAGATAAAAATATTCCGAACACTTCTCCAGAAGGCCACGAACCCATCCGAGGTCATCTTGGGCTCTAAAATCGCAATAAAAGCCCAAAACGTCACTATTCCAGCACAGCGCACTGCTCCTTTATTTATTCGCCAGGAAATCATCGCTTGGTGGAAAAGTCTGAAATTCTGATACGATCAAGTTAAGTGACTCACGAACGTCCTCCAACTGGAATTACTCCAAAATTCGTCCATTTGATTATGTTTTGCTTCGGAGGAAGTCGAAAACCCTATATTGGAAATATAATTCAAAGTATCAAAATTCTTCCAAAATATTAACCAAAATATACTAAGAATTGGGTTAAATATATAATATAAAATCGACTCATCAACAAGCTGCAGACATCGAGTTTTCTTAATAGTTACTTCGCTTAGGAGTAAAATTGGACACTGTTTTCTCAATATTTTGAGGGAGCACATTCAAATTTATGTCATTATAGTATCAAATGCCTCATCCATTTTTTGTGTGTAGGGTCAGGCATCGGCCATACTGAAGCCTACAAGTGAAAAAGGTCCAAACTCTCTAATTTTATCATTTGCTCTCTTAACTCTCTAAAAACGCTCTCAAAGCCTCTATGTGATTGTAACGCTATGTTCATATAGTGAAAAAACTTTAAAACGAGCAAGTGACGTAGCCGGATTTAGTAAATCATGTTATATTGTACGTGTTCTTGAGAAATATTTTTGCTCACCACTTTAACCCAATGTGTACTCTCACCACACTTAACATGTGTTCATGAGCATAATCATAATTAACTTTTTATTTTGTATTTGTGGAACCGTAGTTATGCCCGTGTAAACATGTCAAGTTTTAAGAAGGTTGATAAGGATACACTCTGGGTTAGTGTGGTAATAAAAAATATCTCGTGTTCTTGTGTCATTTCCCAGTTTTTAACCTCCTTTATAAATTTTATACATAAACGTCAATATTTCCATCCTTTTATATCCTCCTAAACCCTAAATTGAAGAAAAAGAAAGAAGAAAAAAACTGTTCCATTCCCCAGTTAAAAAGAACTTGAGGTAGAGCTTGAAAAGGCCATATCTGTGTAAGGTTTAGTATGAAATATGTAATGAAAAGAGGAAAAAGCCAAACAAATTTTTCGGAAAAGTTGGTCAAAAGATTGGATTGAGTGGGTTAGTATGTGGAAATGTGACTGGTGGTGTAATGGGGAAAGCAAAGTGATGGTTGCTTTAGGATCATCATGTATGCATATATGAGCAATGACACAGCATGCACTTGTGTGACACTTTCTAGTTCACATACTTTGTGTCTGCAAAAGAAGTCATGATCCGACAAAAAGGCAAAGTCAATTACTTGGACTAACTCCACTAGAAGACACATCTTCTGCAGATCGTATTAATTGGGGGAGAGGAAGCAGATAGTAGGTGTTCGACGGGATGATCATTCAAGTAATGAACAGTTCGCGTTGAATCTACTCGTCGATTAAAAAATAAATACAAAATGGCTAATGGAGTCCAACCTAAGTGTGAAAAAAGATTTTCATTTGCAAATCAATAGTCTCATTATCGAGCTTCAACAACACATCATCAGTGCGTGTGAGAAAAGCCCTACCTTCTCCTAACTTTGACAATAAAAGAAAACTGTCGGATGGGATGGGATGGGATGGAAAAGATATTTGCATGATAGAAGGAGAGTGGAAAATGTGGCATGCACAATGGTCTTCTGAGTAGACAACAGTCCATTCATGTCTCAATGAAAAGACAAGGCTCTTAATTCTCGGTTGGATCTCCCAGCAGGGCAATCTACTTGGTTGTTTCTGTTTCATTTTCCCCTTATTTTTTATTAAGGGCTTCAACAGGAAATGTAAGATTACATCAAATTAATGATGAACTTTCTTCAACTTTCGTATAAGGTAATTATATTTTCTTTCAAATGAGTAGTTGGTTAGGTACGAAAATGAATATAGAGCGGGGAAGAGCAAATGGTTTAGGCTTTTAAGCATGGACGAGGGAAGAGCAAATGGTTTAGGCTTTCAAGCATGGACGAGGGAAGAGCAAATGGTTTAGGCTGACAGCGAAAAGTGTTCCAATGGTATCAACATATACTTTTCTTCCATAGAAAATTTGGTTATTTCAAATACGTTCATTATTTTTC